AATAAAATAAAATGATTGTTCCCAAAATATTGAGAAGAAATCGATAGTTATCGATATATATCGATAGTCATCAATATATCGATAGTTATCGATATATCGAATATCGATAGTTATAAATAGTTATCTATGCCATCTCTTATCGAGTTTTCTTTCAGGCAGATCGCTTCAAGTGGTGGTGGACGGTGTATCGTCTGATACCATTGGCATCAATTCCGGCGTTCCACAAGAATCAATTTTGGCACCAACATTATTCCTTCTTCATATCAATGATCTGTTGGGAGTTACAACTTGCCCCATCCACAGCTTTGCAGATGATCCCTTCCAGAATTCCCATTGCTTCCCAGGAAACTGATGAGAACATACGGCGCAGGCTGGTCAATGCTGTCAATGAAGACCTTGCTGAAATCATAGCCTGGGGAACCAACAACCTAGTTGAATTCAACGCCACCAAAACTAAAGCCTGTATTTTCTCTAGAAAGTCGGAACTCAGTATGCCCGATATTGTAATGTCTGGCACCACCATCCCCACGAAGCCCACTATATCTATGCTCGGTATTTCCATCAGCAACACTCTTTCATGGGATAATCATGTCAGATCCATCGCAAAAGCTGCTTCACAAAAACTCGGATTCTTGATCCGTGCGAAAAGCTACTTTACACCTCAACAGCTTCTCATGATCTACAAAGCGCAGATACGGCCTGTTCTAGAATACTGTTCCCACATATGGGATTCAGCACCAAAACATACGCTGATGCTCTCAGATTCCATCCATAGAAGAGCCATTCGCCTATAGTGGGTGACGCCACACTCACTCACTCTTTGACATCATTAGAACACCGTAGAAAGGTCGGTGACCTTTCACTTTTCTACCGATACTTCCACGGGAAATGTTCTTCGGAAATCTATGCTATCATCCCTTCACTAGCAATACCAGTCAGACGAACTAGACAAGCCCAGTCAGCACATCCTTTCGTAGTCAACCTCGAAAGATGTTGAACAGCACTTTATCAAGACTCCTTCATAGAACGGCTAGGCTCTGGAATTCATTACCTGTGGAAGTATTCCCAACAACATATAATCTCCAGAAGTTCAAAAACAATTCCAATACCTACCTCTTGTCCCTATCCTCCCTAGGAACGCACGATGTTCTTTGGACATTATAGGGATTTCCTTTCATTTGCTCCAAGCGATAAAAAAAATATATCGATAGTTATAAATAGTTATGGAATCAAGGGTTATGGATAGTTATCGATATAGTTATTGATATATCGATAGTTATCGATATATCGATATTTTTGAAATTATATCCCATTATTCGATATATCGATAAATTTATCGATATATCGAAATGTGCAAGAATGATACATTTACGAAAATGTTTATCTTGTCCCCTATCAGCTGTTAAATGGCCGACAGTTTTACGTCATATGACGTCACTGACAGTGCTCTATTACGATGTTCCTCGAACATAATAGGGAATCTTTTGCGCGGGCGCTCTAAAAGATAAAACAATTCAATTGCTCCATGACATTACTGTATCCATTCGGAAACCTCTTCACCAATATTTCAATCAAATAAAACCAAATCACTTGCTGTGTTCAACAATTATTGTGCACATCTTTCGCAAGATTCTGTTATCTCGTCAGAATTAGGAACCATTCGGAATTGGACGACAGCTAGATTTCGGGTTGTGTGAAAACACATCAATCAAGGTAGATCATGGGTACACGAAACCCGATACAAAACCAGTACAAAGAGGCATGCCGAAAACACCCGCATCAAGCCCAAGCATCAAGTGTTCGATATCGGAAGAGTTCCCTCCAGTGGCGTCTCTATAGAAATCTGCCATTAGTGACTCGAGGAAGGGGCCAATAAGAGTTGTGAAATATAGGTAAACTGTCCCACAGTGAACCACTTTTTTTATAATGAACGCCAATGATATATTTCTCATTAAAAATGATTCAATTTATTTCTTCTAAATAGCTAAGTAATCGGGTGTCGGCAACAGAAGCCCAGTCACAGTTATCGTTCAAATCAACAAAGTGAATTATAATATTTTTTTCAAAAGAACATGTCAATCGGTTCACTATATGAACCGTCTTATGGAAACAGTGAATCAGTTGATGAATTCACGCAGTGAACCAGTAAAAAACAAGGCGAATCACATCAGAAAAATATGTGACAGTTTAAACCAAGGTTTAAACAATAGTTATTTTTGTATCTAGAGCGCGAAATGCTACTTTGGTGATCGAGATCTGATTTTTTTAACGAGGCGTAGCCGAGTTTCAAAAATAGTCGAGATGACCAAAGTATTTCGCGCTCGAGTTGCAAAGAAAATTTTTTCTACAAACATCAAAAATATAGTTTTAAAGAGAAAATATGCTCAGCTTGGAATGAAAAATAGTGTTGAACTGGCTTCAAAGGCCTCCCCCAATCCTCCCTATATAGGTACGCACGATGTTCCACGAACATAATAGGAATTTCCTTTGGTGCGCTTCAAGAGATAAAACAAAGTTATTGTTGAACATGCAGAAATAAATGATATCGTGGATGTTTGCTCGATTGAGGACCATAAAGTTGAAATATAAATATCTCATTTATTTCACATAACAATGCGCGAAGTATAGGTACTTCGCGCACTGTTTTGCTTCGCGCATTGTTTTGTGCAAAGTATCACGGTAACGTAGGAAACTGAAAAAAAGTGTCACTTCGCAATTTGTTATCAATGCGCGAACCTTGTCGTTTTTTGATGATTGTAGAAAACAAGTACTAAAATAAATGATGGAAGAATAATTTGATACTTTCTTGATATTTACTAGATGAGTATTATAGTACACAGTGGACCAGTCAATACACGTATCCAATCATATGGTTCACTGTGTACTGGGTATACCTATGGTTCACTGTGGAATTTTAACAAAAATGAAGAATCAATATTTTCAAAAAATAAACGTGGGACAAATTGAAACAGTTTTTACGTATTTCAACGCTGAACTAGTTATTCATACACCAAGATAGTAAAGAATATCAGTATTACCCATGGACCAAGATTATATCCCGAGGCTTCAGCCGAGAAGTATAAGTTCCCGTGGTAATTATAATATTCTTTACAAAAAAGGTGGATATTACATTTTTTCACTATACTAGCAATACATTTCAAACATTTCAGTTCTGTGAAACTGAGATATGAACCTATATTGTGATTATGAAAGCACTTATTCTCAATTCTAATTAAAATATAGTAGCCGCATGACCATGACAGCATATGACAAGTCGTTATTGATAAATACCTACTAGTTGAGTGCTATCAATGCGAATCTCGCTTCACTCGCTTCAGAACACACTTTACGCCTTGAAAAGGAGTGAATAATGGTATGTTTCATAGCTAGTGGTGGAAAATAAATATTTATGTACCAAGTGCCGTTATATCGGGCAGTATTCATCCCGCGTGAATGTTACCTTTCGGGCGTTAGAATCTAGTAACTAGCTAATATTGAAGAACAACTGATAAAGAGCCGATAATATATGATACTCAATAGGCATGTTCGTTTGTCATGCTCACCCTGCTAAAAATAGATGGGAGCAATACTTTATGTTCGTTTGTTCCAAGCAATTGATGATTGAGTGTTCGTTCGACTGGAGCAAGGTTTCCATAGAGCATTTGAGCATGTTGAGCTTTTCAAACGAACTGGCCTGATAGTATTAAATAAATAAATAATAGGAAAATTATGAAGCAAATTCCATAGGGGGGCCATCATACGCACATTACCCCTACTATACTGCTAGTTTGTCCAAAAACGTACCTGACTTTGTTACTCCAATAATGAGTTAGAAACATTACCGACTTGAGTTTGAAAACCCCGATGTATAAAGGCGTAATCAAGAGTCGTCCCTGAGGAGGTCTAGGTCCAATATCCAATATTTAGAAAAGAGAAGAGCAATACGTAACTAACGTTGGTTACAATGAATGTGTGCATAATTTGGTAACAATAACGAAATGAAGAAGAGAGTATTGAAAACTGAACGACCATCGAGAGAATTACCTAATACCTACCATCTTACATTCTAATCGCATCGCAGGACAGGCAGGAAGAATATTCATATTTACATAGGGTTCTAACCTCCAATATTCTAATATGTTCTAACAAATTACAAATCGGATTCTCGTGATACTTCCTAAACTCATGTCTATATGTTTCCATCATTTGAATTGTTTACCAAATTGTTAAGGGGGGTCCAGCCAGACACCATGATGGACTCCTCCTTAATTACTGCTGAATACCATGAAATGCCTTGGAATCCTCGAAATGCTTTGAAATCCCTTGAAATGCAATGAATTGCCATGAAATGCCTTGGAATTCTTTGAAATTTTCCGAAATGACATGAAATAAAATGAAATGTCATTTCTGAAATACCATGAAATGCCTTGAAAACCTTGAAATACTCTGAAATTCCTTGAAATGCCATGAAATACTTTGAAATGCGTTGAAATCCTTTGAAATATTTTGAAATGAAATGAAATAAAATGGAATGTCTTGAAATCCTTGCAATAATTTTAAATTCTTCGAAATGCCATGAAATTCATTGAAATGAGTTAAATACCACATGAAATGCCTAGAAATGCTTTGAAATATTTTGAAATGACATGAAATAATATGAACTGCTATAAGGAAATCGTACGAAATGTTCTGAAATCCTTGGAATGCAAGTCATGAAATGAAATGCTTGAAACGTCACGAAATAGTTTGAAATGTTATATTGTAGAAAATGGCTTGGAATGCATTTGAATGGTTTGAAGTGTAATGAAATTTCAGAATAAACTATGGATGAACTGGATGAAATGCATATTGAAATGGATGAAATCTATTTCGAAATGGTTGAAATGGATTGAATGCATTTCAAAATGAGTGGAATGCATTCCGAAATAGATTAAATACTTACAAAATGGTTTAAATGCTTACGAATTGCATGAAAGGCGGAAATGCTAACACTTTTTTACTAGTGGTAACCCCCTCGGCTGATGCATAACGTTCCACCTGGGGCTGTGCCTCTGTGCCCGTTTCCCTCAGGAACGCCACTGTTTGCATCGATAGAAAGGTTGTGCATCATTATTTATCAGCCAACCTGTTCGTCTAAGATCATTTATATAGTTTCTGACGTTTGAATTAACATTGATTGCGTGCGGCCGTTTTTCATTTTCCTTGACAAGTTTTCACTTGTACGCTTATAGTGGTGTCAATTTGTGTCGAGTAGGTGTTATGAACCCTGTTTGATGGTATCGCGCAAACCGAATATATAGAGAAGTTCAGCTAGCTTTGAGAGAGAGAGAGAAAATATGTAATGTCAATGATATATTTCCTTCATTCTACATTAAGCTAGATTTCGCTTATAGATGGCGATCTTTTCGCCTCGTCTATGCCTGCCTCGAATTCATTATATACGTGAAGCCGGAATAGTTTCGCATGCTATAGAAGTCGACTATTTTCCTAGTTTAGTTAATTCTATTGATGTGAAATTTCAAGAGAATTCCGAATCAACAAAAGAATTTGTCGAATGGAACCAAATATTTCATTGAATATTCGATTGAATCAATATCTTGTTAATTTGAAGCAAACAAAATGATTGTTTGAGCCAACTCAATATCTCTTCATGAATTCATGAATGTGCTTGATTGAATATGATCCAGAGTTCCTGCAAGACATATTTACTTAATTCAAACTTCAAATTCGCTCTGAAACAAGATATAAATTTACTCATTTCAAGATATTTTGTCCTGCATATATGACACTACTTATGTTTGCATCATTCAATCAAATTTTGCTTGATTCAACAATTTCTTTTTTGCCGTGATGTCTTCCCCATATTCCCTTGTCTTCAGTGTTCCAACGTGAAATAATGAAAATTTTGTTTTGGCAACATTGGCGAATGTGAAATTTGGAGGAAGATCATATTATGAACCCCAATAAAAAAAAACGAGTAAAAAAATAGGGTCTAGATAAAGGACCCATCAAATATTCCGATTGAGCAGTGCGCGGAAGCAAGTCTACAGAAAAATTTCGGCCTACAGTTTAGCTTCAGCCGAAAATATGATATACTGGCAAAATATTTGGGATATCGTAATGACAACCTTTAACCAGTCATAGAATAATGTACAGTGCATTCCCTTTGCAAATCTGAGAGCCATCCACCTGGTTGGTGATGCCACACTCCCTGAATCCTTGTCATCATTTGAACGCAGTTAAAAAGACGACGACCTTCCATTTTTCTATATAGGTTCTTTCATGAAAAATGTTCTTCAGAAACCTCGGCTATTATCAAGAACTTAAAATCTCGAAAAGTTCTACAAAAATTCCAATACCTACCTTTTCTCCCTATCCACCCTATGGATCTGCAAGAGATTTAAAAAAATAACGAATTCTTTCATTTTCCCATGAAAAAGAAATGAAAGAACATTATTAGGTGTATGGTTTCCTGAAAATAATTCATCAAATTAAATTTAAATATGCAAATTTTGAAGTATTGACCTTAAAAATATCCTTTTTGAAACCAGAAATTCGAACAATTGTGGAAAATAATTTCACCCTTGGCGTACCCTATCATTGAAAATTTGAAGGATGTTCAGGAATCTATACTTAGAGTTCATTCACACATCGAACTACGATTCACTTTCGATCGCCAAATTCATAATAACCAATATTAGAAATCCATTTGAGAAACTGATGAAGACATAAATAAAAACCTGATCATCTGACGCATTACCAATTTATAATTCAGTCGAAATTGTTCCTAAAATTCAGTTAACGAACTATGGAACATCCGAGATACAGTGAACACGAGCTTGCACATTTCGGTCTCTACCATCCATGGAACAGTAATTTTTTATCAGGGGAATTCTCTGTTACGGAAATTTCAATCCTTTCAACAAGCGAGAGCACTAATAATCATTCACGATGAAAAAAGACGCAACTAATTGAGACATTAGCCTTTAACTGACGCTGTCAAATCACAGCACACAGTTGCCGTTCTCCTTGAAATGTCATTATTTCACAGAATTCAAGCTGGCGATTTAATGGACCATTGATTTAATCGATGGCTTATTATTGCGGTGTAGTAGTACTTATTAATTGCTGTTTCTGTCATATATTACGAAAGTTGCACTTTTATTGTGCCTGTACACATCATATTATGTTTATATTTATGTAAATCAAGATAGCATTATCTGATTCCACAATACTCATATTATTATGAGCTATTTTCCATTATCCAATAATCATTGAAATAGTTCTGGTTAAACAATGATTCGACAATATATAAACACTGAAAAAAACGAATCCCGGGAATTTCCGGTTGAATGAATTCCTGTTGTCTGAACGAAACTATTGTTATTATGACGAAAAAAAACCGTTCTGAGAACAATCTGTACTTGCAATAAAACATGCCGATTCCGGTTGAAGTGACTTGAGTCGTATGAACAGGAAAACCGGTGAGTATAGCAGTTCTAAGGTACTTTTGATTTATAAGGAATATTTCCTGTGTATACAAAATGATATTTAGCTATATTTACGAGTCACGACTGTAAAACATACGTAGGTCGGAACCATAATTCTAACCGGAATAAAATTCCGTGAATGTTACAGGAATATCTAGTGAAATATACCTAATGATTTTGTAAATATCACAGCATGGACACATCAAATCCATCAGGAATGTATGGTATTTCTCACAGAAATTCAGATGATTCTACAGGAATAAATATTGTTAGGCTGACAGTATTTCAATCCATATAATATATTCCTGTCATCTCTACGATCCACGCCACCGTTCTAACAGCTCAAAACGTTGATTCCGACAGAATTCCTATGAATCCCACAATTCAATCCGCTACTCTGGGAAGTACGCGCCAACGCGGTCATTCGCGTTGGTTGTTGGATACGGATAATATGTGGAATACGCCATTTTTCTGTGCGAGTGCTGTGGTTGTGATTGTGAATTACTGCGTTACTTAAAAAATAATTATGTCGACCTCAAGTGCCGCTAATACTGACTATATATATATGATTCAGCCGCCTCAAATCAAAGCCAAGATGGGGAAGATAGAATATATACATTGATTGGTGAACCGACTGATTCGATGGCAGTAGCCGCCAGCGACGATGATGTCGCCGGCTATTTAAGAGGATGGGGTTTGGCCAATTACATCGAAACATTCAGAAGTAAGTTTTCCTACATTTAACCTACCCTATATATCTAACTCTGTTTAAGAGATAGCAACATTTTCATAAATGTATCATTCAAACCTGTTTCTATTGCTTGTTATAGCAAACCATGTTATCCTGCACAGCCTTCCATTTCTCAAAGATGATGTGGTGAAAGAGCTTATTTCCTATATAGGGCACAGAGCTCAGTTTCTGTCCCACTGGGCGAAATGGAAGGCGTCAATGCATACTGCTCCTACATATTCACCATCACCGAACATGGAACCATCCAAAAGTATGGAAAACACTGATGAACGCACCTCGGAACTCATGCACCACGACTCTTCTCATCAAGACACGAGAAATGTAAGTGGGTCCATGATAATTATTTTTAATTGAAATAGTAATTTCCCTACAAGTATAAAAAGTGGCAAGCAGCCGAGTGCGGGAAAAAACTTTCCGTATGAGTTAGGAACATATTTTTTTCCACCATAAAAGAAAATAATAATCTTTTGAAAATGTACTTATATTATTATGTACAAGGTGCGCCTCTTAAAATGGAACCCACCTAACTCATTTGTTTTCAGAGATGTGAAAAAATTTTGAATAAAAAGTTGTTTGAAACGACTCAGACTCCTATTTTGTGTTGCTATTGTTCCATATACAGGGTCATTCGTTTTTCCGGAAAGGACATTAATTTTGATTTTTTCAATGGAACACCCTATATATCTTCCGAGATGTCGATAGAGCCTTTTCTTATGATTTCAAAAATATATATGAGTCGCATATATGGATGGAAAATAGTTGAGCTGTTGATGATCGAATTTGACCAAAATACCGCTTCATGAATTTTCACTTTATATCTATGAATATGATATTCAGCATCCACATATGAGAGATAGTTCATGAAATACAATCAAAATAATGCAAAATGAGCTCAAATTTTATAGGCAGAATTTTAGGAACTTTCCCGCACTCTTACCCGCACTAGTGCGAAAAAGACTTCCCAAACCAAAATGCGTGCGGAAAAGTAGGCAAAAACGCACAGTCGTAGAAGAACGCCACAAGCTCACACCAATAAAATTGGACTATTAACCATTTTTTTTGTATAGGCTCTCCTCAAATTATTGAACGAAACAAATGATGATGAAGCATTGCTGGCCGAGGAAAAGACTAGGGGCTGTCTCTCCTCAAAGGGGCGATCCACTTTGTGCAAGCTTATTATAAGAAGAGAACTGCAAGGTAACCCTACGGAAAGAATATCGGGGACAGACTTCTGGCCATAAATACCTATCGTGGTTAAAATAGTGGAATTACGGTGTACGCCAGAAATCATTATTTTATGTTTTTCTTTCATCACATTCATTCTAAACAAATTATTCAATGTTTTTTCAATAAACAAATTTTATTTTGGGACATCTTGAATATCATATTTTTATACCCAACCTATATTAGGAGTGAATACTCTGTTCAATGTGTATTGAACTATGGAAATATTACATATAATATTCTATTGTAATTGTCTACCTGATGGGTTATTCCTTTGTTTGTATTCATTTGCTGATTTGGGATTGTGAAAATATACTGTCTGTCTTGATATAATAACGAGCACCCCTAGAGGTAATTAGTCACTAAAAATATTGTTAGTCCTTTCGTGTGCTCCAAGAGATAAAAAAAAGAATAGCGAACCGTATAGTGCCCTTTTTCACAGCTGTAGGTATATATATGAATATATAAAGTTCGGTGTTATTTGGCGAATAAATTCAATTAGTGGCTGACTTTCCCTAGAACAAACTGTGAGACTGTTAGACTGTAAGTGTATTATGAGATTCGCTAATATGTATTCAGATCAGGGAATTTTTTTTTATATTTATTATTTAGTCTCTCAACGAATGTATCTAACTCGTTCGAATAATGTTGAGATATGATTTATATTATATGGAAAATTCCACACCAGTGATTTTCATACACTTAAATTGGGTTTTTTATTACAAATTACCATAGCAACGTATGTATTTTGGTGGAAATTTTTTTCTTCAGCGTAATTTTTTTTTCACGTTCCATTAATAACCATGATATATTTCTTGACAATACTGGTATTCAATTGAAACGCAGAAAATCAATTTTCTACCACTTGAAGTTACTTAAAACGTAGGTGAAATTGAAAAATGAACTATGATCAGTCTTAAAATTATATTTCCATGCAACTTTAACAAGTCAGTATCAACAATTCATAGGCTTAAATCTGGTGTGAAATATTCTCACCGAATACCACACGAGGTCAAATTACTTTCCGGGAATTTTTCATGGTCATGAATATTTCCCAAAATGATTCGAACTCTAGTGGTATTACAAATGATGATTCTCCCCCGATTTTAGACACATATTCGCGAAGTCACAGACAGAAATGCGTTATAAAAATAACAAAATTGCATTCGTTATTCCAGATTTTTTTGGGACTTTCTTTCCTCGTTTCTATGTTTCTATGAAATAGAAATATGAATATTATTCCAATATATGAATAGTAAGGACAAATCAGATGATTTGCCCCAAAATATCACTGCGTTTGAAGAATTTTCCTATCAGAGAGCCTAAAAGAAAAAATTTACTAGCTCGTCACTGACAATTTGTATAGAAAAAAGTTTGGAGAAGAGCAATAAAGGTATCAAAAATTGATAATATTCGTCTAGCAAATTCGTATTTGTCTTGACACTTCTCAGTTCTCAGTGACAATTGGTGACGTTGGAAATCAAATGAGTTACAGGATGTTTTCATTAATTAATCTTGAATTCAACACTTTCATTTTCAGATTTCAGTAGTGAATACCATGTTCTATCTATATCAACTGAACAGAAAGCAATGCTATTGTCTCCGTTCAGAAGAATGCAAGCGGATTCCTTGATTCTTCTCTTACGGTTATCTTCTTTTCTAATGATTTTGATATTATTCCACTCAGTTGATATAGATAGAACATGGTATTCACTTCTGAAATCTGAAAATGAAAATGGAAAATTCAAGATTAATGAATGAAAACATCCTGTAACTATCATTTGATTGCCAACGTCACCAATTGTCACTGAGAACTGAGAAGTGTCAAGACAAATACGAATTTTCTACACGAATATCATTCATTTTTTATGTTGAAAACGGCAGCAGATTCGTTCCCGAAACGTCCAAAGCTAAGTGAAAATTTGATTTATACCTCTATTTCTCTTCTAAATTTTTTTTTCAATACAAATTGTCACTGACAAGCTAGTGAATTTTTCTTTTAGGCTCTCTGATAGGAAAATTTTTTAAACGCAGTCACATTTTGGGGCAAATCATCTGATTTGTCCTTACTACACGTATATTGGAATGATATTCATTTTTTTATTTTATAGAAACGAGGAGAGGAAATCCTGAAAAAATCTGGAATAATGAATGTACCACCTCCTCGATTAACCTACAGACAGTACGAAATAGCACTTGAATACTGACAGGAAGTACCCTAAATTACAACAATACTCCACGGTAGTACTAACAGGAAACTTCCAGTAAAAATCCATGGAAAAAAATGTCGACTTCAGATGGAAATTACTGTCAAAACTATGCAGATAATTGAATAGGAAATACAAGAAATTCCAGTTGAATACTAGGTAACTACAGGAAATTCCTGTGAAATCTCAGGTGATAAACTTCAAATACAACTAACTAGTACTGTGATGTGTGAACAAAAGTCCTTTAATTGAACAGAAAATTCCTGTTGAATCGAAACCAAAGTTCCGGTATAAGCGAAGTAATTCCTGTTTAAGTTTAGTGTTGATTACTGGAAATTCTTGTAAAAATTGAAGTTTGAAGCTCCGAATACAACTATCTAGTTTGATTATCAAACAGGAAATTCCTGTTAAATCGAAATTACAGCTCCGGTGAAACTGAGGTAGCTCTTCAAAATAACTGGAAAGTTCCAGTTGAATCAATGTAGCGATTCTGTAATTAACAAAGCCAATTCCGGTTCTCGTTACATTATTATTTTCCTGTTAAAATAACAAACTGCAGTTTGGTTGCACTAACGGATCTAAAACTTGTTATTTCTAAAGGAATTGATAGACCGGAATTGTCACGTACAATTAACAAATATTCCTGCTGTCGCTTATATAGGGGGAATTTCCTGTAGAAATAGCCGAATTCCTGTTGTATATCCTGGTAAATTTCTTTGAGTGAATACTTTGACATAATAGAGTCATCAATTAAATCATAATGGACTCGCCCACATCAGATGCATTTTATGAGAATCGTATTTTATAGAAATAGTAATCCGGCAGAAACTTATTTCCTAT